ATGTTCTGTAAAATATCTGTTAAGTCAACTTGTTCTAGGGTATAGTTTAAACCCAGTGTTTCTTTGTTGACTTTCTGTCTTGATCTGTCTAGTGCTGTCAGTGGAATATTGAAGTCCCCCACTATTATCTTGCTATCCCATTTCTTATGTCTAGCAGTAATTGTTTTATAAATTTGGGAGCTCCAGCATTAAGTGCATATATATTTAGGATGATCGTGACATTTTCCTGTTAAGGCCTTTAATCATTATATAATGTCCCTCTTTGTCTTTTTTAACTGCTGTTGCTTTAAAGTTTGTTTTGTCTGATATAAGAATAGCTACTCCTACTCACTTTTGGGTGTCCATTTACCAGGAATATCTTTTTCCACCCTTTTACCTTAAGTTTATGTGAGTCCTTATGTGTTAAGTGAGTCTCTTAAAGGTAGCAGACACTTGGTTGGTGAATTCTTATCCATTCTGCAATTCTGTATCTTTTAAGCGGAGCATTTAGACCATTTACATTCAATGTTAGTAATGAGATGTGAGGTACTATTCAATTCATCATGCTATTTGTTTATTTGTTGCTTGAATACCTTGTTTTTTTGTGTGTGTGTTTTTGTTTTATAGATCCTGTGAGATTCATGCTTCAAAGAGGTTCTGTTTTGGTGTGTTTCTAGGATTTGTTTCAAGATTTAGAGCTCCTTTTAGCAGTTCTTGTAGTGCTGCCTTGGTAGTGGTGAATTCTCTTAGTGTTTGTTTGTCTGAAAAACACTATCTTTCCTTCATTTACAAAGCTTAGTTTCACTGGGTACAAAATTCTTGGCTGATAATTGTTTTGTTCAAGGAGGCTGAAGATAGGGCCCCAATCCCTTCTGGTTTGTATAGTTTCTGTTGAGAAATATGCTGTTAATCTGATAGGTTTTCCTTTATAGGTACCTGGTGTTTTTGCCTCACAGCTCTTAAGACTCTTTCTTTTGTCTTGACTTTGGATAACTTGATAACTATTTGCCTAGGCGAGGATCTTTTTGTGATGAATTTCCCAAGTGTTCTTTGAGCTTCTTGTATTTGGATGTCTAGATCTCTAGCAAGGCTGAGGAAGTTCTCCTTAATTATTCCCCCAAATATGTTTTCAAACTTCTAGATTTCTCTTCTTCCTTGGGGATGCCAATTCTTGGGTTTGGTCATTTAACATAATCCCAGACTTCTCGGGGGCTTTGTTAATTTTTTTAAAATTCTTTTTTCTTTGTCTTTGTTGGATTGAGTTATTTCAAAAACCTTGTCTTCAAGCTCTGTAGTTCTTTCTTCTGCTTGTTTGATTCTATTGCTGAGACTTTCCAGTACATCTTGCATTTCTCTAAGTGTGTCCTTTATTTCCTGAAGTTGTGACTAGTTTTTATTTATGCTATCTATTTCACTGAAGATTTCTCCCTTTATATCTTATATATTTTTAAAAATTTCCTTAAGTTGGACTTCACCTTTCTCTGGTGCCTCCTTGATTAGCTTAATAATTAACCTTCTGAATTCTTGTTCTGGCAATTCAAGCATTTCTTCTTGGTTTGGATTTGTTGCTGGTGAGCGAGTTTTTTGTTTGTTTGTTTTTTGTTTTTGGAGGTGTTAAAGAACCTTGTTTTGTCATATTGCCAGAATTATTTCTCTGGTTCCTTCTCATCTGGGTAGGCTATGTCAGAGGGAAGATCTAGGGCTCAAGGCTGCTGTTCAGATTCTTTTGTCCCATGGGGTGCTCCTTTGATGTAGTACTCTCCCATCCCCTTTTTCCTAGGGATGTGACTTCCTGAGATCCAAACTGTAGTAATTGTTATTTCTCTTCTGGATCTAGCCACCCAGAAGGGCTACAGGCTCTGGGCTTGTACTAGGAAGTGTCTGCATAGAGTCCTGTGATATGAACTATCTTTAGGTCTCTTAGCCAAGGATACCAGCACCTGCTCCAGTGGAGGTGGCAGGGGAGTGAAATGGACTCTGTGAGGGTCCTTAGTTGTATCGTTGCTTATTGTAGTTTTGTGCTGGTTGGCCTCCTGCCAGGAGGTGGCACTTTCAAGAGAGCATCAGCTGTGGTAGTAAAGGGTGGTGGGCAGAGCCCTAGAACTTCCAAGAGAATATGCCCTTTGTTTTCAGCTATCAGGGTGAGTAGGGAAGGACCATCAGGTGGGGGCAGGGCTAGGCATGTCTGAGCTCAGACTTGCCTTGGGAAGGGCTTACTGTGGCTGCTGTGGCGAATGGGGGGTGTGGTTCCCAGGTCAATAGAGTTATGTTCCCAGGAGGATTATGGCTGCCTCTGCTGTGTCATGCAGGTTGTCAGGGAAGTGGGGGAAAGCTGGCAGTTACAGGCCTCACTCAGTTCCCACACAACCAAAAGGCCAGTGTCTTTTCTACCGTGCCCCCCGCCCCCCACCTCACCAGCACTGAGTCTGTTCCCAGGCAGTGGGTAAACAGGGCTGAGAACTTGCCCCAGGCTACCAGCCTCCAGGATGAGAAAGCAAGCAGGACTTTCATGCCTCCCCATATCAGATCCATGCCCTCCCCGGAGTTCTGGCTAGGAAACTCTTGTTGGAATTGTTACAAATTTCAGTTGGGGGTTTCCTTCTCCCTGTGGTCTTTTCCAAGTTTCTCTGGCAGCCCTCCCCAGGGACCCCTGTGAAACAAGTCAGAAATGGCTTCCCTGGGGACCCAGAGAGACTGCAGGGCTTTCCTGCTGCTTCCTCTACCTCTGTATTTCACTCGGGTGTCTACATTGTCTCAGCTCAAATCCTTCTCCCATGATCTGGACTTTCAGATTCCCCAGTGAGGGTGTGTGTTCATGGGCAGATGATTCTCCTTTCCCACTTTCACAGTTTGGGCACGCACAGTATTTGGGCTGTCTCCTGGGTCCTGCAGGAGTAATCTGCTTCCTTCAAAGGGTCTGTGGATTCTCTTGGCTTTCCTGGTATATTCCTGCAGTAGTTCTTGGAGCAAAAGTTCACAGTGAGAGTTTCCACACGCTTCTCTGTCCCTCCAAGTGAAAGCTGCAATTTAGTCCTGCCTCCTATCCGCCATTTTCCCCCCTCTCCTGGGAGGTCCTCTTTCATACTTTCTGTGACTGGGATCCTCTCTTCTTCCCCATTTCAGTCACTTTTTGAACAACTTTGCATTTGTACAGGTGAGACTGGTGGGTTTTCCATTTGCCTAGGAGGTCGGAAACTTTAGGTATATTACACAATTTACAAACCGCTGTGTGGTGGTTCGTTGCTTGTTCCTTTCACATCACCTGGGGCTGGCAGGCAGCAGCTGGTGTCCCTAAAGAGATGCAGATGGAAAGCATCAACACTGACAAGAGCCCATCATCAATTTCCCCTTCCTGATAAGGGAGTTTCTGTGCGACTCAGGCCAATTCACCTGGAACCACAGAGCCAGGAGGTCTGGCTGTGCAAGGGTGGGCAGGAAAAGCCAGAGTACCTGAGATGGCGAAGGAGGAATGAAAGAGACACAGGATGCAGAGCCAGCTAGAATGCAAAGAGTGAGAGCACATCAGAACCAGCCAAACAACCACCACATAAAAGGAAGGGGCTCCCCAGCCCTGAGCATTTCTGAAGTCTCAGGTTCATTATGGGGCCTCTTCCCATAATGTTCCATCAATATGTCAATAATACCTACCCTGCAGGTTGCTGTGAGGTTTAAAGGAGCTAATGTACATAAGATACCTGGTCCAGCATGTTGACCCTATGGAGTCCCTACAACTACCAATGTTATTTAAAATAATTATTAAAGTGGTGGACCCATGGTCAGACCCAAGTTGTGTCAACAGAACAGACTATGTGAGATCCTGATGGCACGTGCTCCCTCTCTACCTGCCACTTGACACTTCAGAGTCTCAGGGCACATGTCATATCTCACCTCAAATGAGGTGCCAGGTTGGCCTAGGGCAAGAATTCAGAAGGATTGGGAGGAGAGATCAGGGCTAGAAGAGGGCACCCAGCTTGTCTCCTCAGAGCAGAGGGGCAAAGTCAGCCCTTTGCTCAGGGTTTGCTAAGCATCCACTGCAATTTCGCATCAGTCCCTCTACTGAATCTCTGTTTGCTGGCCATGCCTTAAAAAACAAATACTGGTCAGTTGTCAAAGTTCACTTGGTCTTGACAGCCAAAGCCAGGAGCATTTGGCCAACATCATGAGTCTGATGACTCAGCAGAGTGGAGCCCATTGCATACTCAAGCAATGCTTTAAAGCAAGTCAGGAATATTAATACAATGAGACTGCTTAGTCGATCTGCGCCCTGCTGGGTGAATCACACTCCAAACTCCTTTAGGTAAGAACATTCACTGCAGCTGAGTATATTGCCAGCAACCCTTCCCTAGTGCCTGTTTCCATCTCTGTCAGAGGGGACCTCCTTAAAATGTTGCCTTCAGACAAACTGTCTACACAGCACTCAGACTATGTCAGTCAGTATGTAAACTAGGAATCTTTTTACAGACAGTGAACGTTAAAACCAGCAGGACACCATGAGTTGCTCAAAGAGAGTGATAATAAAAAAATGGTTAGAATTTGACACAAAAGGGAACAATCTCTTCTTCATACAGGATAATAACAGAGCAAACGTATTATAAAATCAATGCATTATTGGCACAGACCTGCAACTCAGCAGGTATCCAAACAGTAATGTGATGAACGGTAACACAGCACTGAATATCTTCAGAATCAATACCTTAGGTGCATATTTGAGGACTCCTTAAACATTCCCTTCCAAGCCCCTGCCATCACCCCTGGGTATTCTACAAAGCAGAGATGGCTTTTCAGAGTGGCCCCAGGGGAGGAGTAGTTGGCTCAGCATCCCGGACAGAGGTCACCAGAGTGCCCCAGCCATGTGAAGGTAGGCTAGCCAAGGGTTCCACCCCAGAAGAAGCATTAATACCTTAGGTACAACACAAGCTACGAATTAATTGAATAACAAATAGACCTTTTGGAATGGCCTAACTTAAAATTATAAAATGAAATATATTTGCTAGTCTCCTAAAACATTCACTTTTCTGCAGGGCTGCCTCTTTCTACTGCTTGTAGTGAAGAGCCCAGCAAAGAACTTAGCAACACGATCGGCTTCAGACACGTGGATATTCAGCGATCCTGGAACACATCTCGGGTGTCCCTTCTCACCTCTGGTGATGGTTTTGCCTCCCAAAGTATCCTCTCCTTCTCCTTGGCTCTAATCCTACCCAACTTCCCAGAACCAGTGTACACCCTGCCCCGGAATGCCTTTCTGATCACCTCATCTTGTAGAGTTCCCTCCTTCTTCTGCATGTATTTGTCTCATAATCATTCCTGTGTCTTTTACTGTCCCTTGATGTATTGTTTAGATTCATAACATTATGATTATGTAACTTCCCTCCTGTTGCATGGTTGCTTTTTTGCAGGGACTGTGCCCACATTGGTGTTCTCCATAGAATGCTTCTCAGATGTAGTGTGTAGTACAAATGCCCAAGATCTTGTTAAAATGCAGTCTGACTCAGTGGTCTGCCTGGGAGCAGGCCCTGAGATCCTGCATTTCTAATAAACTGTCAGGTAATGTCAAAGCTGGTCTGTCTGGGGACCACACTTTGAGTACCAAGGGACTATCATATCTAGGGCAATGTCACGTGTGTGGTAGATTTTCAACAAATAGCTATTCATCATGGGCTCTTTTACCTATTCTCCACCATGGCCTGCGGAGCTGAGTCCTCAGTCCCCTTTGAGGAACAAATACATAGAGGCCCTGGAAACGGTGTGCTGGCCTTTTGGTCATCCCAGAGCCAGGATGGGCTCCACGCTCCTCCCACCTGCTCTGGCCTGCAGCAGCATTCACACGTTCCTTCTATGAGAAAAGCGACATGCATCAGGCACTATGGGATGGCGCTGACAAAAAAGACAAAATGTCAGGTCTCATAGTCTCGAAAATTTCCTGCCCATTAAATAAGCATTCCTCGGGTTGTTTTCTCCATCACTGCTAAATATTGAAGTCATAGGTCTCAGAGTGTGTAGGCTCAAAATATGCTTCATTCCAGAAGCCACTGTTTTGTTGACTTTACAAACCACATAAAATAGTTTCAATACTGAAAACATCAAGCTTACACAGATAAATGATATTTTGCTATGGGACTGAGTATTTTTAATAAGATCCTATTTCCTGGGGAAAGAAGAAAAATCAGCAATGTAAGCAATAGCAGCAAGGAAGACCATTATGGTTCCTAAGTGATCCAACTACTGATGATAAATGACATAGCAACATGTGCATTTAGCTTTTTTTTTTTTTTTTAAACTATGTTCCATGCTAGTAAAGAATAAACTAGCAAAGAACAATATCCTTAAAACAGCTAGACATATTTTCAATACATCTAACACGTAGCCTTCAAAGTAACCAATGTGAATTTGAACTGAATGCTCCTTTTTTGTTGTAGCTGATGTGTCTCTTAAGATCTCAATGAGTATAGGTTAATAGATAAATAGAATAAATTGTAAACTGCTTTGCTGGTGTCTAGCACATAGCAGGTATTTGACAAAGGAATGTTGTTCAACAAAAAATGAATGAATGGAGAGAGGAAGACAGGGGTAGGCACCCTTATAGCTTTGTGAATGGGTCCACAGTGTGGTATTTCATACTTGAACCAGAAGTCGTATGAAAATGAGACACGAACATTTACAGGGTCATAGTCCTATTATTAAATAATGGGTGCCACACTGTACAGCTTGTCCTTAACTGACTAAAGATAAACTCTGCATATAGGCATTGATGACACATGGATATAGAGCTACCAATGACTCAGTTGACCAGGCCAGTGACATAGTATTGTTTAATGAAAAAATATCTACCCTATTACGTATTTATGCATATACACTCACTGAAGGTCTATATTATGTCAAGTCCTGAGTACCTTAGGTTTCCACATAAGAATTCATTTGCTTTAAAAAATTGGAATGCATCACTCTGAAATATTTACATCTGTAAAAAACAACCATATGCATTTTCTTAAATGGTTTCTTTCAAAATCCAGAAGAAATCAGAAAAAAACTTATAAAGATGATTATATAAAAGAAAGAACTTTTGGCTGGGCACGGTGGCTCACGCCTGTAATCCCAGCACTTTGGGAGGCTGAGGCGGGCGGATCAGGAGGTCAGGATATCGAGACCATCCTGGCTAACATGGTGAAACCCCGTCTCTACTAAAAATGCAAAAAATTAGCTGGGCGTGGCGGCGGGCGCCTGTGGTCCCAGCTGCTGGGGAGGCTGAGGCAGAAAAATGGCGTGAACCCGGGAGGCGGAGCTTGCAGTGAAATGAGATCGTGCCACTGCACTCCAGCCTGGGCAACTGAGGGAGACTCCCTCTCAAAAAAAAAAAAAAAAAAAAAAGAACTTTTGTATCATTAAGAAAATCTGGCCAGGTGCAGTGGCTTATGCGTGTAATTCCAAAACTTTGGAGCCTGAGGTGGGCAGATCACTTAAGGTCAGGAGTTCGAGACCAGCCTGGCCAACATGGTGAAACCCTGCTTCTACAAAAAAATATATGAATTAGCTGGGTGTAGTGGTGCGTATCTGTAATCTCAGCTACTCGGGAAGCTGAGGCATGAGAATTGCTTGAACCTGCAAGGTGGAGGTGGCAGTGAGCTGAGAATGTGCCACTGCACGCTAGCCTGGGTGACAGAGCAAGACTCTGTCTCCAAAAAAAAAAAAAAAAGTATTAAGCAAAGTGAAAAAGCAAATAAATTTTTAAAAATGTAAATTATAATTCAAAGGGTTAATATCCCTAATATAGAAAATATTATAAAAATAGAGAAACAATAGAAAAATGACTGCATAGAAAATGAGCTAGAGATATAGTCAGAGTTCACAGGAAGATAAATGTAAACAGCACTTCACTATATGCTCAATCTCATTTATAAGAGAAAAATGAAATTTAAAACTGCACTAATACGATTTCTCATCTATCAAATTGGAAAAACTCCAAAAGTGACAATATCATGTAATTAGCAATGCTGTGGGGAAATGGGCACTGTTGGTCATTGCTGGTGGGAATATAAAATGGTACAACCTCTATAAGGAGGAATTTGGCATTGTCCAGCAAAATGATGTATAAATTTACCTTTTGCTCCAATTATTCCACTTCTGGCAATCGATCTCAAGAAAGATACCCAAAAATGTATGCACAGGATATGTATTACATGCAGCACAAATGCCCACCAATAGGGGAAGGTGAACAAACCAGGACGTGGCCAGACAATGGAACTGAAGCAGGCAACAGCACTCCTAGAGCCTGGATCGGGGTCTCTAAATACTGTTTCTTACTGAAAGACACAGGGCTCCTTAAAAAATGGCTAATTCCAGGTCTGGAGTAATAAATGTGCAAGATGAATTCCAGAACATGTTGTCATACAAGAGATCAATCAATCAATCAATCATTCTAGCTCTCAAAGAGTCAGGTCAAAAGGAAATGATCTAACTTTTAGAAGCTCGCTCTGGCCAATGAAGGGACAATTGGAATATCATCAAGGATAATAACTGTAATGGACTTGAACACACAGAACATGCTTGAATCCCTGAATTTATAAAAAATTTGGAAAAACCTTACTGGTTAACTTTAGGAGATATTAGAAATCCAACTTACTGTTTTTAAATCAGTGAAAAAAATGGAAAACATTAATTCCTTTCACCATTCCTATATGAAATGTACTTTAGGGAAATCAAATCATTGATGAGAGGAAGCTTCTCTTTACAGAAGTTTTCCAGTTAGTAAAAAGAAGATGATAGAATATAACTATTGTACAATCTCTGATCAATTAATGAATTTAGGCAGTTCATAAATAGTTGCTATTGATAAACAGATAACCAGACAATATGTATCTTGTGATGAAAATACTCAGAACCACATGTGAATTATCCTAAAAAAGAAACCAAAAACAAAGAAATAAAGAAAAAAACCAGAACAAGATCACAATGCAAGCAAGCTTTTATCTAATTACATCTAATCATCAACTTACAGGAAATACAGAGGAAAAAATAACATGGTAAATGACACCACAGAGATGCAATCAGCAACATAAACACTGTGGAAAATTCTCGAGACAAACTGCTGTCTTCAACAAATGAGTTATAAGGGGCAAGGAAAAAATGGAGGCGGCACCCACAGATTAAAAGATATTTTAGAGACTTGTCAACTAATTGCAACATGTGGATATGGATCTTATTTAGATCCTGATGCAAACTATTAAGAAAAGGATTTCTGAGATAACTGGAGGGATTGAACAGTGGATAATTTCTAATATTGTGATAACATTTAAAAAAAGGGTGCTTATTCTTTTTTTTCTTTTCTTTTTTTTTTGAGACAAAGTCTCACTCCGTTACCCAGACTGGAGTGCAGTGACACAATCTCGACTCGCTGCAACCTCCACCTCCTGGATTCAAGGGATTCTTGTGCCTCAGTCTCCCAAGTAGCTGGAATTAAAGGAACATGCCACCATGCTGGCTAATTTTTTGTATTTTTTTTGTAGAGAAGGTTTTGCCATGTTGGCCAGGCCGATCTTCAACTCCTGACTGCAAGTGATCCACCTGTCTCAGCTTCCCAAAGTGCTGGATTACAATCCAACCACCATGCCTGGCCATTTTTAAGAAATACATATGTTTAGAAATGCCTCAAAAGAAATTATATGATGTCTGGATTTTCTTCAAAGCAATCTGATGGGAAGAGGGAATGGATGGTGGTATAGATGAAATGAGATTGGTCTTGAGTTGCTAATTGTTGAAACTGGGTGATGGGTACATGGCAGTTCATTGTATGATTTCCACTTTGTAAATGTTGAATTTTTGATAATAAAAAGGTAAGACAAAATGTAAAATTAAATAAAGGAATAGGAATGTCCTGTATCTTCCCTGTTTCCCTGCCTGGGTATGTGATGACTTTTATTTCTGGAACACTTTACTCCAAGGCTCCTGTAAACGTTATGGGATTCAAATCCTCTCTCAGTTGCCTTTGCAGTAGGAGGTGGCCAATGAGGGAACTAAGGAAGAGAGGTGAATGAAGTCCCTAAGACTAGGACTTTAAATAAAGAGTGACCTGACAATTCTAAATTCAGTGACACGATCTCTCCTAACCAGGTGCTTGGAGTTGGATAAAGAGGTGCATGTGTGTACAACGTGTGTACCTGTGTGTGTTCTAATGTCTTAGCAGGACATGAGCATCTTCCTTGAGTTGCTAGCTAGGCCTTCTCACTCAGCAGGGAGGAGTGTGCTCTCAGCTGCATTCACCATGCAGAAGTGATGTCTTTCCTTTACCTGAGCCCCTCTGTCTGAAGAAAGGGATTTAAGAAAACCTGAAGGTCAATGCGGCCATCCCTCTGTCCCTATTCCAGTAAGCTCTAAACTTGCACCCAAGGAAACACCATGGGATGCACAGACCTTAAGATCATTAGGCATCTTTGAGAAGATCTAATGTGAAGGATTAGCCACATCCTTTTGAGAAAGAGGGAAGTCAGAGAGCCCCACAGTGGAGAGATGACCACCTGAGGCTCACCTGTAGAACCAACAAACCACCAGAACTGGAGCCACAGTCTGTCATTTCTAGCCAGGTACTGTTGTCACTCATCCCCATTTCCTAGAGGTTGGCAGTGGATTACAAAAAATGTCTATGGAAATCAGGCCGAAACAATTCTAGGATCGAGCTATAGGAGTGATACTGCTGAACTGTTGAAATTTTCCTTCTGCAGTGAGTCTGACAGCCCAAGGTCATGGAACTTGAGAAGAGGATAGAGTCAGGTGAGAGGCTTTTTCCTTTTTTCTTTTGCTCTTTCATTCCAAAGAAGCATACTGAATTCCACTGCTGAAGTCAAAGAGGCTTTTGCTGTCAGTCTTAGATAAATGCTTCATTCTGCTACGTGCTGCTCCACTCCCTTTATTCTCCTCTTTAATTGAACCTGAATTGCAGTTATTTTTAACATAATTGGTAAAAATTCAAGAGAGTTAATGCCGTGTCCTTGGCTCATAAAAACCTTGCTTTTCCTTAGATGAGCTTCAACTCAGTGCTGATAAGAATGCCAGGTATTAACTGTAGGATGACTATAGTTAACAATAATATGTTATTAGTTTCAAATAGCTAGGAGGAGGATATTGAATGCTCCCAACACAAAGAAATGACAAATGTTTGAGATAATAAATATGCGAATTACCCTGGACTGATCACTATACCTTATGTGTATTGAAATAGCACCATGATGTACAATTATTGTACATCACGAATACGTACAATTACTATTTGTCAACTAAAAAAATGTTTTTAAAGCCTGGTATTAGTGAAGGAATTTTTGAACATTTGAGTTAAACCTGCTCTCCCAAGTATTCAGATTTGTTTTATAAAACAAAGTCTCCCCTAATTGTCTTTGTTTTAAATGCTTTCCATTAGCTTCATCCATTAGCTTCATCAAGAAGATGGACCTTTAGCCAAACTGGAACATTCCCTAAAATTCTCTGTTCACGGAAACAATCGGCATAGGAGTTCTATTCTACTCAGGTCTGAAATTATCGCAGCTTAGGAAGTTCTCAGCTGTGCAGAGTCAAGAAACAGAGTCATGAAGGAGGCTCAGTGGAGGGAATGTGGGGCCGGGAGAGGGAACACCTGGAGCTGCCTGTGTCACATTGAGCCATCACACACCTCTCTGTGCATGTTTCCATGTTCATTAAAAGGAGATGAGAGTTCAGCTTATGATATGTTGGAAAAGGAAAAACTGTGGAGACAGTGTCAGATCAGTAATTTCCAGGGGTTGGGGGAAGGATTTTTAGGGCAATGAAATGGCTCTATCTGATACTGCAACGATGGATGCATGTCATTAGACATTTGTCAAGATCCATAGAAAGTACAACATCAAGACTGAGCCACATGTAAACTAGGAACTCTGGGTGGTGATGATGTGTCAGTATGTGTTTATGAATGGTAGCAAACGCAGCACTCCAATGGGGGATGCTGACAGTGTGGGAGGCTGTGCGTGTATGGGGGCAAGGGGTTATATGGGAACTTTCTCCTTAGTTTTGCTGTGAACATAAAACTGCTCTAAAAAAGTCTTTTTCTTTTTTT